GTGAGGCAATTATTAATACTCGGCCAAGTGCTTCGTTTCGAACTGGCAAAACATTCTTATTAGCGCGCCCGAGCTCGCGTGAATGTCGTTGCCTATGTCATTCGAGAGTGCGTGGGATATCGTTGAAAAGTTAGAAATGAAATGTTAAGACCTTAATTTAAGAAAGTTCTTAAGGTATTGCAAATAGAATTTTTCTAATTGTTGGTGGCCGCGTCAGGCAATAATGCTCCAAATAATTGCAAAATGCTGGCCTCCGAGCGTCGAATGAAATGTTCCTTCGATGCGTTCAATTCAGAAGACTTATTTATATATACGGCCATTATGTTAATTTATCGCAGCAATTAAATGGTAATTGATACTAATTGCTTGTTCATCAATAGATCCAAATTTCCCGGGCATAACTAATTGGGACAAATCATTATTTCTATTTTACCTTTCCACGTCATTTGAAATGGCCGATTATTATTTCCCAATCATACGTAAACCCGATAAATAAAATACGTAACTAACGCTGCTACGCGTGAAAAGATATACAGCGACAAGATGCAATTTTCCGCAACTAATTCCTAAGTATTTTTGTCCTGTATGGTAGTCGTTTTTCAAACGGGGCGAAAAGCAAATTCAATTTGAAAATTGATTCGATAGCTCGAGCAAACTAAATTCACGTTGATCGAAAAGCTTTCGCCTTCCGCTGGCTCCGAGCGTGACGACGAGAAAAAACCTCACCGAGGAACACACAGCCAAGCAGGCATCCAATAGTTATCCAAAGAGTAAAGATTGAAAATGCTCGCGTATACTTTCTCCCCTGGAGTTAAAGCGTGCGCAAGCGAAACGGGCCGAGGCAAAGTTTAAATCGACTCTTCAACCAACAACGCGAGTAGCGCGGGCTCCGATATACGTAACCGGGTATCCCTCGGATTCTCCACATCCTGATTACCATTCTTATAACTCAGCCGAGCTATTGCCCCGTATTTTTCTTAACAAGATAAACGGTGTCGCGATGCGCCCTAAATAAATTGCCAAAAAGAGATGATCCGCGATAATTTCATTGATCCTACGATCGCTTAATTGAGCTATTTGCTCGCGTGCCGTGGATAATCTTATAAGGATTTCGATCTTTCGTGTATTATAGGAAAATTTGTATTTGCCAGTATTATACTATTATTATTGTTGTCGCTGTTGATATTATTGTAACTATCTAATTAAAAATCTAATTGTAATTATTAATTTCTTTATTAACGAATAAACCTATTTACCCATAACTCTACGGAATGTCTCATATTATACTTTAATTAATTAATTATCACCATAATTCACAAATTAAAATTGGCCTAATTATCCACACAAGTTTGTGCCATTTTTTCCCCTTGACACACATCGATATTCACAATATTTAACATTAAAATTAAATCGAATTCATATTCTTTCGACTGCATTGTTTCTCGCGTCCGAATCAAACTCAATAAGAGTCAGTTATAAAGGTACTTAAATATGAAATTTAAATCAAATTTTGAAAATTATATTATTTATAAAAATTCACTTATCACTCGACCTTCCATTCTTTTTCAAACTAAAAAATGCTACGAGACAAACTTTTTATCATCATAGAATTAACTCGACTATCCTAATCTTCTCCGTTAAATTACAATACTCAATCATAGGCTAAGGATAACCTTATACATAGTTTGATAAAAAATTGTTATTTAATACTTTGTCAAACACTATAATATAAGTCAAATAATAATTTGTTAAGCAATTTATCAAATATAAAATCCAAGACATGTTTAAAAGACCAACAAAACTTCAAAGTCGACCCAATAATCGCCCAATCAATATCATTGGCAAGCGCTTCGTAACTCTTCGCTCACCACTTGTACAATTGTAAATCACCACTTTCTAACCAAATCATCGTTTTTCCATTCCTTCTTTTCTTCATTTCACTTTTTCATACATCACAAGAAACCTACCACTGACTTCTCATTTAACGATAAATCGATCCTTGCATTTAACGATAAATCGAAAACAGCCAAAGATCATTTAACCCTGGAAACGGTGACGGCCCAACCAAAGTACAGCCCCAATAATCCACGAACCAACGCGCATCCCAGAAAGAATCGCTCAAATAAGCAAAAATCAACATTTTCCATACGTAAATCTCTAAACCCAAACAGGTGGGCATTCTGGCGGAGGCACTAGGTGGCGTAAACGTGGGGAGCTGCGGTCACGCGTGCGAGGCGCGTCCTTGTGGCGACGCCGAGTGTCGCCCTCTACGGGACCGCTTCACCTGCCGCTGCCGACCGGGACTACCCCACCCTTGTCCCGCGGAGCCCGAGGAGTTGCGATATCCGGTCCCGAGTACGAGGCCCGTCATACCCACGAGTCCAATCCCGAGCTTCACCGGCTCCGACAGCTACCTTCACTACGACGACGCCGACACCATGAAGAGGTCAGTTACCGAGCTGCTTCTCCATTCGGAGCGAGAGAGACAATTGACCGACTGTGAATAAGTAACGAGCGCATAACTTAACGCGCGGTGTGCCAGGAGTTCGTAGAGAATGTAGTTAACGTATTGATCGTCTGGCTCGGAATTGTTACTCCACCTCTTTTGTACGAATTGAAACGAAACTTTTTATATTTTGCTGCCTACCACTAGAACTATAAAAATCGTAACGACGAGTTATAAACTATAAGAGTTCAAAAAAAAAAAAAAAAATGACAACAACGAACAATGTATGAGATTTTTTTACGTTGGAATCGCTTAAATGCATTGGTACAAATAATTGATAGATATTGATAAACAATTGTTGAAAAACAAAAACAAAAACAAAAACAAAAAAAAACAAAAAACGGTACTCGATAAAAAAAAAAAATCCATTAGGAAGATCTTTCCTAAATCCGCAGTCTTATTTGTTGCCACGATAGAGAAATCATGTGTACCATTATTTTCCATACTTATTCGTTCATTTGCAATGGAAATTTCAGCCACATGGCGAGACTTGGTCCAATAAAGTGAGCAGCAATACTTCCTGAATATCACGCGGCATGCGTATCTCGTTTTGTTCTTCCTCGTTTCATTTCCACTTTCCTCGCACGAACCACGCGTGCCATTACAAAATCGTCTCTGAAAAGTAAGCGCAATACCTACCTACGACATACATACAACACGTCATCCTAATTATCGAAACTCGATTTCATTTATCCAAGCTGAGCTACTTCCTACGTAACTATCGAGGAAATAAATGCCCGTCTACCGTCTCTAATTATAATTGTCCCTATAGGATAATAAGTTACAAGGTGGACATAAACATGAGATTCCGAGCGAGTAGCAGCAACGGCCTCCTATTGTGGAGCGGAAGACAATCGGATTCCCAGGAACAAAGGGACTCTAACGAGGACTTCCTAGCGCTCGGACTCGACCAGGGATACCTTATACTCGCTTATAACCTCGGATCCGGCGAAGCTACTCTACGTTATAATCTCACGAGATTGGACGATGATCTGTGGCACCGAGTACGCGCTGAGAGGCAAGTTAATTAATGCTATTTTAATTTTTGATAATTATTAAGCATAATCGCGTCCAGGCGAATTTCTATGCGCATCCAGGAATTAAGCCTGGCAAGACAAGGGCCATGGAAAAATATTATTATCCTTTCGCGGGCCTTTATGTTCGCCGAATGGGACGAACTGAGAGGATGGAGATTTTCTTAAAAACATTCGAAATGCTTGAAATTTTAATGCTCTTGGGGGAGAAAATTGCAGCGACCCGCACTGCTATCGTTCGTTGCGCGATTGCTTTTAAAATAAAAACTTTCTTTGGCTTTCAGGAATGAGCAGCGAGCTTCTTTGGTCGTGGACAACGGCAACGGCGTCTTCGCCGAGTCTCCGGGACAATTGAGACAATTAAATACAGACACTGGCCTCTATATTGGTGAGTGAAGTTTTCGCATATTCGGTCGATTATAAACAATAAGCGGCCGGCTGCTAAGTCCGACGAAAATCTGAAATTATTTCTGAAAAATTAGGGGAGGAGCGTTTATTCTCATAAATGCTTAAAGAGGAGCGCTAATATCGCGCTAAGTAAGTAAGATTAAGCTTGGCAATAAAACTTGTTTTTCATTACGTTATAATAAACGGCCATTTTATGTGCGAGCTTTATTCAGCGTAAAGGTGCTTTTGCCCGCGCCTGTGCCTCTCGTCGCTAAGGTCAAACGGTCCTCCATGCTGCTCCCCAAAAACAAAACAAAAAACATAAGCCCCATTCACCGGCAATTCACAACAGCCGAATGAAAATATGTAAAATTAACAAATTTAAATAAACGAAATTTTGTATTATCCAAGGCATTTTACGCAACCGAGGGTTGTATTATTACAATTGAGAATGGTAATACGCGGAAAATAATCTATAATCTCTATGTCGGTAGCTTTCCTCGAATATCTCGAAAGCCATCGTTATCGCGTGAAAATTATTGAAAAAAAATTTTAGTCGAGGTACTTACTTGCATGAAGCGTGCTAAATCACAAAGCCACTGATTATTGTTAAAATCGCAGGTGGTGCCCCGTCAATAAGGATAACCACGGGTGGCCGTTTCCTGAAGGGCATCGTCGGCTGTATAAGCGACCTCGTCCTCGACGCTGACTACTCGGTGCCGCTTTCGTCGCCGGATCAGGCAACCAACACACACACCTGCATCCCCTGAGTCCCCCGGGAGTTCATGCCAACTGGTATCCAGGGCGACGTCCGAACGAGAGACCAGCGATAAAAAAACGCGCGAGAGAAGCGCCCTGGAGTTGGAGATTACGGGGAAAAAAGGGAAGCGGGGCGGAGCGAGTTGGGTTGGCCAGGCGGTAGGGTGGGGTGGGGTGGGGTGGTGGTGGTGGTGGTGGTGGTGGTGGTGGTGGTGGT